CAGAACTTCACGAACTACTTAGTCGAAACAAGTTCGACTAGGTCTGTTTTGTGTTTTCCGATTAAGTCAAGATATTGATTGTAGGATCTTGACATAATGTAGGTGTTTGAGGAGTCAAGCCTCGACCTACTTCCATTGCTTTGAGTTATCATCAATCCGGAATCCAGGTGGGTTGTTATTCTAAAATTATCTGTGCAATGTGTGTTAAATATGTTTATTGTTTTGGCGTGATCTATGTATGAATGTGAATATGTAGCCTATCGATGTGAGCTATTATGGTGGCCATCGGTACGGTTGTCCCCGTCGATGTAATACGGTTGCCTTATGAGGCAAGTCTCCTTAAGACCTATTATGAAAGGCCGTGTCCTTGCGTGGACCGTACTCTCGCCGTTAGGGTAATGAATCCCCTTTCCGCGACTATTATGAAAGATGTGCACAGGAGTATTTATGTTTACGTTGGAGATGTGACATATGTGATATTGTTTATGTTCATGCTGCGACCATGCCTATTTAACATATTACTATATGTGCATTGCATAGTGTGAGTACGATATTTAACTGTACTCACTCCCACCTGCTCGTAACTGATGCAGGTTAAGCAATGGCGCGTGACGAGACAAGACGGGTGGTGGTCATTGCTTATTATGCTATTTAAATTGCTTCCGCTTATTTATGAACTATGTAGGTATTGAACTTGTTTGGATTGGATTTGAACTTGTTCATTTTGGAAAACTTTCGGATTGGTTTACGATGAAAAACCCTACTTGATATATGATTGAGTATGATCTGATGTTAAATTTATCGATTTGTGGTTAATGAAAACCGTTGAAAAATCGGGTAATGAATCCCCAGTTCAGTTATGATTTGAACTGTATTTATGAAAGGAATGAGTAACGTCAAAAATTTATGATTCGAAAAATAAGTTTCGAAAATTTTTACCTTGATTTTTTTGGAAAATCCATGGATTTTCTTTAAAAATCGATTGGGGCGTTACATTTCATTACTTAAAATAATTTATTATTGTAGACTCTTCAAATAAAAAAAAATTAAGTGAGTAATTTATTTATAAATAATTGACTATTTCGTTTACGTCCAAGTTAATATTGACCCGTAAGTTATTGAGTAATTTATTAAACTATAAATAATTGACTATTTCGTTTACATCCAAAAACATTGACTCGTAAACTATGAATAATTAATTTTTTATTTTTAAATTTAAAGATTTTTTATTTTTATTTTTTTTCAATATATTATATACCAAATTTAACCTATGCAACTAATAAAGGTAATAGTTGCACGTTTTGTCAATATATATTCCAAATTTAAATCATGCAACTAATAAAGGTAATAGCTGCAATATTTGACCAAAATGATTCTGTACATTAATTTAGGCGGAAATTTTCAAAATTTGTCTAAAAATATTACTCAATATAGTAAATACTTTAGGCGAGAAACCAAATGTTTTTTTGCTGATTTTTAGTTGCTATTTCAAGTAAATATCATTGTCTCTTTATGTATTAATAAATAGATAATTGCATTTGGGGCCAAAATTCAATTACCCAACATTAGTCCTATTTATCGACATCTCTGACTATTTTTCAAAATGCCGAAAATAAATAATAACATATCAGAGTATATGAATTCATTCAAATAACAAATAAGTCAAAATATATAATCGTGCAAATAAATTAAGCATATAAAATATACTATTAAATATATAAAATATGCACAATTTTCGACTTATCAAATATCCTCAAACTTAAACAGTTGTTTATCCCCCAAGCAACTTAGAACTAAAAGCACATAGATAAATATGTACAAGTACAATAAATATTACTCAGAAACTTACAAATTCTCACATAAGTACATAGCTCAAACAACGAGTTAATTTATTGGTACTCAAGATGAAATCATTTTAAGAACTCAAACAATCAAGTGTTAATTAGAGCGACCACCATAGTTCGTCAATTTCTAACAAATGTATCAATCAATGCAACTCATGACACCACTCTCTTTGTTAACTAGTCTAGCTCCTTTCCACTTCTAGCCGAAATTCAAAATGTCTTGTTCTCCAAATTTCTTTATTTTTATTATTATTATTATTATTTTTTTTGTAAAGTAGGGAACGGCAGCCCTGTCACAACTAGGGCTGCAAACGAGCCGAACCGAGTCGAGCAGAATTGATTTTTTTTTTTAGTTGCTCGAGCTCGTCAAGCTCGATTTTTTAGGCTCGAGCTCCACTCGATAAAAAAAATACAATAGCTCGAGCTCGACTCGAATTCAAAATGCTCGAGCTCGACTCGAGTTCGGTTCAAAAATTTTCAAACAGCTTTGTCAAATTATATATATAGAAGTGGTATTTTAGTAATTTACCATATATCTCGAGCCGCTCGGCAATGTAAAATATGGGCCGGTTTCGACTCGAGTTCGTGCTCGAGCCGCTCGAATTCGGTCAAACTCGAGCTCGAGCCGCTCGACTCGTGTGCAGCCCTAGTCACAACCTGTAGATTTTAGTCTTTTGTGATTGTCTCGATACAAGAATTATCGAATTTTATACACTAGAGTTCCTACAAATTGACAGTAGTTGCAGCCCATAACTATTTTTTTTTTTTTTTTTTTTTTGGTTAACATTTTGACTCCATCAATGATGAAAAAGTCCAGTGATTAGAGAGAAAAGAAAAAAGAGAGAGAAGAATGAAAAATGGATGAGAAAAATATTAAAATCTATTTTATGGTATGCTTAAAGTAGAAATTTTTCTAATTACCTATTTCCAATATATAAGTTAATAATGTCAAACGTCAACTAGATTTTCCCAAAATATTTCAGAATATAAATTGGAGTTATATAAATATATCATTTCATATTAGGGGTGGGCACGGTCCGGGACGGTCCGGGATTGGACCTGTCCCGGTACCTGTCCCAGTTTTTTGAACCGGTCCGGGACGACACTCGTCCCAAACAGAACGGTATCAATCGGGACCGGGACGAAACGGTCCGGGACCTGGACAAAACGAAAAAAAATGTTCAAAAATCAAACTTCAAACTAAACTATTCTCTGTTGGTCTGTTTGGCTGTTTCATTTAAAAAAAATGTTAACTGAATTGGGAATTTGGGAATTTGGGAATTTGGATTCCGTAGTCTGTGCGTTGTACCCGTAAATATAAATGTTAATGACTTAGTGTGTATTACTTTATTACTTAACTAGTGTGTACCCCGTGCGATGCACGGGAACAATATTAAATTAACAATATTATAAATACACCTCGAGTTTGAGTCACTCAATGACAGAAGTGAAAACTACTATTGATCCTATTTAAAAAGAGGAAGAAAAAAAATAATTATAAATTAAAGAGGAGGATAAACAATACTTAATAATTATAAATTAAATATTCGGGGTCAAACAATGTAAAATTATTTTGTATAAGAGAATAAAAAAATTTGATTACACATCATTTTAAAATTATTATTATATATTTTTGTATGGTTAGCTTATAATATTTGTAAAAAATATTAGTAATTAGACGGATGAAAATTTAGCTTCTTAAAGTAGATAATGGAATTTTAGTAGTAATTATGAATTGGTTTCTATTTTTATTTTATTTTTTCAAATCTCTATAGATAAGGGATGAGACATGAGACTTATGCAATGAGATTTTGTAACAAAAGAGATAAGCTCGTGTAGATTTATACTAAAAATAGGAAAAAGAAAAACAAATATTTATTGTCAAACAACGATTTTGATAAACTAAAAAACAGGAAAAAAAAGAAACGAATCTTTATACAATTAATGAGCCGATTTTTTTGCCTATTCAGATTTGTCCAACAATTACTATATGTAGGATATATTTAATGATTGGCGGAAAAAAGTTTCTAAATTTGTAAAAAAGTTATTCTTTTTTTATAATGATAGATGTTTTCATTTTTTGGGCCAATTGCAGAAGTGAATTGGGCTTTCCTTTCATTAATAAAACAAAGCATGTTAAGATTTTTGTACAAAAAAAAAGCCTGTTAAGATTTCATTAATAAATATAANTTCCAACTAAGTCCAAGGCGAGGACCCTTTCATTGACGATGCGTTCCGTCGTCAGCTCTCTTAGGCCGACAAGGTTCGATGTAATTGACCTAAAGGAAGCGAAGCAGGCTTCCTGATTCTGAGAGAAAGATAGAAATCGAAAGGCAAAGAGATAGGCAAGCCATTTGCAGCCTTAATGCTTTTTGCTGGTTGGTTTCATTATCATAAAGCAGCCCCAAAATTGACATTCCTGATTGGTGCTGAGCTCACTATCGTGCAAAGTCGTATCTCTTTGGTTAATAAGATCCAAAAAGTTTATCGATCCCAGGGGGTGCGGAATATTTTATACAAAAAAAATAAAACGGGACAAACGGGACGGTTCGAGAAAAAAATATTAAAAACCGATACCGACATTGTTTCAATCGGTTTGGGAGCGGGACCGGGACGAAAATTTTAAAAACCGATTGGAACCCTATTTTTTCGGAACGGGACCATTTCGATCCGGTTCGAGATCGAGAAATCCGTTTTTTTTGCCCACCCTATCTCATATATCCATCAAGTCGTACCAATTAACCACGTAAATGTTGACAAATGGCAACTGAAATTTCAATGCAATTGTCCACAGGACCACAACTCACATAATTTTCACATGATATGATTTATTTGTTGTATATAGAAAATTGGCTCCATTGTCAACTGTTGGCTTCATAGCAAATCAGTTCTTGATCTTAATTTATACAACCTTTGACAATCAAAATTAGTTAATGGTAATTAACTTAGAATCAGCCACGTTAACCTTAATCATACCAAAAAAAATCCACATTAAATTAATCCAAGCGACGTGTCCTGTAGCAAACTTATTTTACGAACGGGACCATTTTTGACGTGTTCATCTTTTTCTCTATTGGATAATTTCTAAAAAATCATAAATATATAATAGAATCGGAATAAAACACGCATACATTATACAAGTGCCGCAAAGAAAGGGGCAAAGGTAAAAAATCTTTCTCGAACTCGATGTACAGCTTTCAGTTTTTTTGTCCGTTTTACTGTTGCTAGAACACGCGATGCTGTGCATTTAGACCATCCAAATTCATTTTTAGTGCTGTTTGAAGACTTTTAAAGCCCGTTTCTCTCTCTAAAAAGTTTATCTTTGTTCTTGATTGTCCTAATCTATCGAGGGGTTCACTGTTGTCACACGCTGAAAGTGTCAATTTTTCCAGGTACTCTGTTTCTTGAATTACTTTTTTATTGATTGTAAAGTTTGATAAAGTAAGACAAATGTCTGATCTTCGAGCTGGATGTTCACTAGCTTTTGTTTTTGGTTGAACAAAACAACATTTTCTTGTATTACTGCAATCTTTGTAAGTTCTGATTTTTTTTTTTGTCCCATTTTTTCATTCATCATTTTTTCTTGGGTGGTTATTTGAATTACAACTATATGTATTTCAAGCATTAATTTTCTTACAGAATACTAAAAGGGGTTTATGCAATTATGGTGCTGGTGATCAGCACTCTTTTGTGATCAGGGTTTTCTTTCCTGCTGTTTATTTTGCCTTTTAGCAACTATCCAAGAATTNATGTTACTCACTCTGTCACGAGAATGAAATTGAAATATGATTAATTTGTATAATATTTCCCATTTGGAGCTCTTGATAATTGAATTTGTTCTATATCTGATTTGCAGATACAGACTGCTGAAGCTGTAATAGAAGCCACAACTTGGCTTATTACATTGAATTTCAATAGCTGTCACCAGTTAGCTTCACAATATGGACCAGCAAAAATCTGTCCATGAGGTAATTTCTTGTTGTTACTTTGTTACACGGTTTTCCTTCGTTGATGTTAAATCATACTACCTTCTAATGCTTTTCGTGCTGTAGGTTGTTAATTACGAAAAACAGATGCTCACATTGATGTATTCCAAAGGCATTTGGAATTGGGACAATGATGTTCTTGAGCTTTACCGGAAAATCCGCACCATATACGAAAATGCTCTGTTGGACATGAATCAGTTGATCGAGCATCAAGTAACTGAGTACCACTTGTGGAGGCTTCATTATCAGCTCATAGACGAATTCCGTAAAAAAATTAGAAAACGATCCAATAATGCAGAAACTGTGAAAAAGGACAATTTACCAAAAAGTATCGATTCAGAGAGAAACATTGATAAGGAGGGGTTGAAAGGATTTGTGGCATTTGTATCTGAGGCAAATGAATTTTATCAAAAGCTGATTATAAAATTTTGGAATAGTCGTGGGCTCATGGGAGAGGTTTTCCTAAACAATGAGGACCGTGTTGCAATTTCTGCTGAGCCACAAAAGGCATATGCTTGTGAATACACGTGCCACCGATTATTGATTTGTCTCGGGGACCTTGCTAGATATGGTGAGATAGTCAAGAGATCAGAAGCCTGTGATTGGTCAATTGCGGCTAAGTATTATTTTGAGTCAACCAGAACTTGTCCAGATAGTGGAAATCCCCATAATCAGGTAGGTTAATTTCCATATTCATGGCACTGTGTGCAAAAATTCTGCTTTATGGGTTGAAATAATGTATAGGAGCTGAAGTGAAAAGTATTTGATAATCAAAAGTTGGCAGTGTTAGCAAATTTCTAAAGCACCAAATTGATAGTTGCAAAATTTTGCAATTTTCTTGTCCAGAGTACATAAGCATACTATATCTACTCCATTATTTCTGTCTTGACTAAACATTTTTGAACATGTGTATCTGCAGTTGGCTTTACTGGCAACATATGTTGGTGATTCTTTTCTTGCATTATACCATTGTGTAAGAAGCTTGGCGCTCAAGGAGCCTTTTCCCGATGCCTGGAGAAATATTATGCTACTTTTCGAAGAGGTAAAGTTTCGATTTGCATTTTATTGTTCTTCTCTCGGGAATGTTGTATATTTCTTTCCTCTTTGTGTAAGGATTAAAAGTTAAAACTCAGATCTTCAACTGTTTCTTGTACATTTGCAGAACAGGTCAACCGAGTTGCGATTAATTTCCAGCCAGATGAAGCTCGACTTTTTAAACCCTTCCAAGAAAATTTATTCTTCAAAGACGTTCCATGAAGAGAATAACTGTGCACGTGACAATACATCAGAAAACACGGAGAAGAAATTTTCCGGAAATCCCAAATTATGGCCCCTTCTTGTCAGAACTATAAGCTTCCTTCTAGTCAGATCTAGGTACTCGATACAAGCATTTTTAGTATATCTATTTATAATTTCCGGATTAGTTTTTTTGTCATTATGAGGTTTTCAAATCTGAGTAATTGGATGTGATAGATATTTTTTCGCACATTGCAGTTTGGACGACTTTCCGTGCACTCTTGCTTCTGCCTTGCACAGCTTAGAAGCTTTATTGATAGCAAATAAATCAAAACTCACCATATCTTTGGAGTCGTACCAAAGCCTAGACTCTTCCAGGAAAGGCCCTTATCGCGCTATTCAACTAGTCGCCATATTCATCTTCGTTGCCTATAGCCTGACCGAAAGCCCAGAAAGAGACGAGTCAAAGTCAACCGAAAAACGTGAAGAAAAACACTCGGAACTTAAATCACTAGCATTTTCTGCTATGTTCATTTGCATGGGCCGGTTTACTGAGAGATGCATGGAAAAAAGCAGTCGTGTGGAGAGTTGCCCACTTCTACCGGCCGTGCTTGTATTCATAGAGTGGTTAGTGGGTTCACTTGGCAATATCAAAACTTATTACAATGCCGACAAAAGGGTTGCAAATGCTTTGTCTTACTTTCTCAACACTTTGGCCGACCTTTTAGACCGAGTCGAACAAATTGAAGACAAACCCTTTACGGATAACACTGCACTATGGGAGGATCACGAGCTAAGGGGTTTTTACCCGTTATCACACGTTCATCAGACACTGAATTTCGAAACTCGCTATGATTGTGCGGAGATATCCATATTTAGAAACGAATGCAGGCTGCATCGCCTGTTTACTGCTACCAAAAAAATAAGCGATGTCCACCGAAATTCCGAGCTATCCAATTCTTTGAATTCGGCGGGAAAATCGTCGGCCCAATCCTCTCACGAATCTACTATGGGCCTAGAAGCCCAAACCGTGACTCATGAAGACGAGGAAGTCATCCTTTTCAAGCCCATCACGAGACGCAACTCGGCGCCCGTCTCAACCGACGAATGGTTGAGAGGCGCCACGTCACTATCCGCCGCAGGTCAGGACGCCGAAAATGCCGGCGGCTCGTTTAGCTTCCACTCCACACCCAATCCCACCGGACACAACGAGCATCATCGTGTGGGACCCCCGTCGTTGAGCGCGTGGAACATCGAGCGGGAGAGCGGGCCCCACGGTTCAAACAACCGGAAGCTTCTAAGCCCGATAGTAGAAGAAACCGTATCGACATCCCTTGGCGAACTCTCGATCCGCGAAAGCAAGGGCCCGAAACTGACGACGACGGGGGAAAATTCGACCATAATTCACGAGCCGCCTCTTCGAGCCACGCCGGTGCCCTCGGCCCCTCTGCTACCGGACAATGCCACCTGGCTGAGGGCAAATCCGTCTTTTTTGCCCGAGGTGGACGGTATTCTTGGCGCGGGACCCGCTGCACGGCCTCCATTCCTCGGCATGAGTTCTTCCGAGTGGCTGTATCACTATAGGAACAGCTGTCAGAACGCGGTTCATTTAAACGTGCCCTCGTTTGTGGATTTGGGCCCGAACGAGCGTTTGGGCTTTGAAATGTATGATCAGTGGGGAAACCAGTTTGTGTCGGGCCCGATGATGTACGTGGGGAGGCCCGGCCCACAGCTGTCGTATGGGGCCGAGGGGGAAAAGAGGGATCAGTATTTGCTTGGGTACCAAAGGCCGTTTCCTTATTTGCAGTACCTGAAAGAGAGAGAGAGGCAGTTGCAGCCCGGCCCGCATATGATGGGCCCGACTTTTATGGGAAACTGAGCTCGTGATGAGTTGTGTCAATGTACACCATTAATTGGCTAGTATTTGTTTTCATTGTTATAATGGTTTTCATCGTGTGATATGTTGTTTGTGAGTTGCTTTCGCGGGTCTGATGTTAAAGTGAAATACGAACATGATATGGTTGAGATAAGTTCCTTATCATGTCTAACTTCAGAACAGAATAGCCACCACTATACTATTTTACTTTACCATAGTGCACAAGTAAATGGATTAACATTCATCCTGTGTTAATATGATAACCAGACATGGTTCATTAGGTCTGAAGTTGGATTTGTTGACAATTTCAAATGTCGCTGGTTATGTGATCATGTGGTAAAATTGTTATTCATTTTCATTAGGCAATATTTATGCATTGTATGCATATCTTTTCGCAAAAGTATTTTCATTTTTATAACAAATTAAAAAAAAGTATTCTCAATTTTATCAATTATCTTCGCTTCTATGTTCGAATAATGTTTCTGTCTGTCGCATAAATTTTCGCATCAATTATCTTCACCTGTCTTTCGCATATTTTGCCGCATACTTGTTTCGCATTTTCTCAATTTTGTTCGTCTGTTTAATTATCTTCGCATATTTTTCGCATAGTATATCGCATAATTGTTTCACCCTTGATCAGTATTTTTCATATCTTTCGAATAACTTTTTGCATCAATTATCTCCATCTGACGTTCGCATAATTGTTTCGCACTTCTCAATTATGTTCGTCTGTTTTGTCGCATAGTTAAACCGCATTACTATTTTGCACTTTATCAAGCCTGATTGTTTCACACTTTCTCATTTATCTTCATCTATCTGTCGCATAGCTTTCCACATCAATTATCTTTGTCTGTTTTCGCATATTATATCGCATAATTGTTTCTCACTATATTAATTATGTTCGTCTGTTTTGTCGCATAGTTTATCGCATAACTACTATGCACTTTATCAATTACCTTCGTGCGTCTGTTTATCGCATAGTATATCACATAATTATTTCGCACTTTATCAATTATCTTCGTTTGTTGTCTCATACTTTTATCAATTATCATAGTTTCTTGCCTAATTATTTTGCATTTTGTCAATTATGTTCACCTGTTTATCTCTTATTGAAAGTATAATTATTTTGCACTTTATCAATTATCTACGTCTTTAATTCGCATAACTCATCGTACTATAATTTGTTTCCTACTTTACAAGATCAAAAAGTTAAATTATTATTTGAGGATTTGTATTACTTATTCCTTCATGTGAAAATAATTATTTTCCTTTAAAATATGCCTGTTTGGCTGTTTCACTTAAAAAAACCAAGTAGTATGAGGGGTTGTACGGACATCTACAACGTTTTACCGAAGATCTGAATTTTTCTTCGGCCCCGATATCTCTCGCTCTCTGACGCACGCAGAAGTTTTACTGAAAGCTTTGCAGCTATGGAGATCGGACAATCGAGTAAAGGAGGTTGTTCATCAGCTGAAGCCGTCATGCTTGGAGCCCTAGCTCCTGGAGTCAATGTCTCCAGAATCCAAATTCAAATTTTCTCTATCAATTCAAACATCTTTTCCTCCATATAAAAAAATCCGATCTTTATCATCATGATTTGCAGGGCCCGACATGGAATACCCTAAAGGTTGCATTCCTTATGCTCAGCGTTTGCCTTGCTGCTATGCTTGGGTTGGCTTTCTCCTTTAGCGACTCGTCTTTGATTCTCCATGTCACCTTCCTTCTCCTCATCGCTGGCACCCTTTTCTTGCTTCTCAGCAGGTATTGAAGTCTTGCTCGGTTCTGAGTAACTGAAATCTTTTGGAGTCGAGGTTTTGTGTGATGTGTTAGAATATTTATGTTTTAATTGATAAAGTAATTTTAGGGTTTTGGATGGTAATTGGGGAAATTGATAGAGTAACTGAGTTGGCTTTGAGAGAATTCAAGAAAACATACTCTGTGGTTTATGTTGGTGAATAGTGTTGAAATTGAAGCTTAATCCTCGGAAATGCCAAAGGACCAAAAAGGGGATAGAAGAAAAGGAGTCATTATATTAGCAGTGAATTTTATTTATTGATAAATTTTAAGGACTGACTACTGAGCTGGGCTGATGTTCTCTAATGTTTATGTACTACTTAGTGACTTATGGCCCGTTGCAGGGTATTAACTTCAAATTCATGCTTTCCTAAAGTTGAGGAATGGAATTGTTTATGTAGTGAGGGGGAAGTATCAACAGCAAGATTATTCCTTCTATGTGTTGTGTGTCTGTATATTCTCTTAAGAATTTGAGCATTGATACAATTAATATGTATGGCTTTTTTTATAAGTGCAGCTAATCAAAGTTACGCCAATTATAGAAATAGTTGTATCATCCTTTACTTCAAGTACATTGTTTATTGAAAAAGATGCATGTAATGCTCTTGAAGTGTTGTAGGGTTAATGGCTTTTAATGGTGAGCAAAACCGAGGTGAACCATGCCATTCGGTGGGGAGCGTTTCGGTTTTTCTAGTGTTGAAAATTTCTGGTTCGGTTTCGGTTAGTGTTGTGTTGTTCGGTTATCTATTTTCACCTTTTTTTTTTGGTTCGGTTTGGTTTATTATCGAACCGTACCAAATTAAATATAAATGTGTAGAGAAACCAAGACAAAACAAAAAACGAGCATTTTGGTGTAAAATATATTTGGTTCGGTTTTGGTTCGGTTCAATTATTTTTTTGGTATGTTCTATTTATGGCGGTTCGGTGCGTTTTTTTACCGAAGGGCACCCGTTGCTTAGCTCAGTGAACGGTACCTAGCTCAAAATTTTAAATCATTTTGTGCTTTTCATGACTTATCAATCTCTTCTATTGCCTAAGAGATGTAGAATTTAAAGGATGCTATCCAAATGTAGAGGAACTTGACCTTTTATATAATTATGAGGAATAACCTTTTTTCTTTTTCAAACATTGTCATTTATATTATGTGCAGCGTTTATTTTCGTTGTAACTGCCCATCCTTCAATTTGCTTCCAAGCATTGTTAATTTGTTTTGATCTATTCATATATTATGCTACTTATTGTTTAGGACCATGTGATTTGAGAGAAAACAAGTTGGATTAATAGGTTTTCCTGACATGTCATTTTTCTGTATTCTGTAGCTTCCTAACGGAGACTGGCCTTGTTTCTGTCGAACACCAGATGAAGGAGATGGGCTTAAGAACAAAAGATGCTAGTGATCTTAAGCAAGAATGAGTAAATTTGGACCCGATTCTAAGTAACACAACAAACATTCACAGATGGGTTGCACCATTACAAGCTACCGACATTTTAAGAACTTATCCGAAAAGGAAACATGTATGAATCTCCCGGTAAGAGAAAAAGAAGGCAAAGTTGAACTATGTTGCATCTGCCATCTTCTTGCTTTCAGCTCCCCTTTGCTTCATTCCGTTTTGTGTGTTGGCCCTTTTTGATTTGATGTAACAGAAACACGAGCAGAACAGTAATTGCAGCAGAAAACTTCATTCTCACTTTATTTATAAGAATGTATTATAATATTTTTAACCAATTTTTGCAAAATTAAATTAAGTATATATATAAATAAAAATGGTCTTGATAGTGATTGGATAACACTGAGTTTTCAACCGCGGTTAGGGATTCAGGGATAGAAGATCAACTGATCAAGAGTTCATCGTCACCTGTAATTTTCTCAAAAAGTTAAAATGTAAATACTTGGATCTGAGTTTCGAGTTTAACGTCACCTAAACTAATGCACCACAATTCATTCGTTTATGTGGACGCGTGTCAACAAAAGCGTCCACGTGCCAAGACCGTGCGTAGCCATTGTATGGTCATTAAAATTCAGTAACGAAACAAGGTATCAGGAGACAAAGATAGTATTGGAAATCAAAAGCAAAAACTATAGCAGAATAAAAAATTAGTCCTGATTTAGAGATTGATGGGTCTTAATAAAAACGCAATAGTGGATCTATCAAGAGCCATCACTCGGTGGGGTATGCTATGTGAAAGACGCACGTTGTCCAGGATTTTTTCTATTAATCTTTCCTCCAAATCATATGAGGTATTGCACTCCATAGTATTACTCTTAGCCAGTTTTACTACGTTCTCATCATTAATTATCATTCCTTAAGCTAGGGCAGCTCTCTTTTTACCCTTTGAATAAGTTTGAAAAGGATATTTAATTAGTCTTCATTTTAAGAACAATATGATATGTAAAATAATAGGAAAAAATAAATGAATGTTTCACTACAAGAAAATGATGAAATTTCAACGGAAATATATTCCAATAGAATTCCAACAGCAATTCCAATGGATATTTCAATGTTATTATTTCCGTTGGAATTATTTCAACGGAAATTCCTACAAAAATATTCCGTTGGAATGAGTTTTTCATTGGAATTTCCATTGGATTTTGACGATTCCAACGGTTGTGAAAATAAAAATTCTAATGGAAATTTCATATTCCAACAGAAATTCCTACGGTCAAAAGCCGTTGGAAATATAGCCGTTGGAATCATCAAATTTCATCTAAAATTCCAATGAAAAATATATTCCAACAGAATATTTTTGTTGGAATCATTCCAACGGAAGCTATACCATTGGAATATCCGTTAGAATTTCTATTGGAATATATTATCATAGGATTTTTCGTTGAAATATAACAATTTTTTTTGTAGTGTTTGATTCCGAAAATTGATATGAAGC